AGTAGAAAGGGATCAAAAGTTACTCGTTTAGTGGGTGAACACACACAGCTTCGGGCTACTTTCGTATGTTACTTATAAGTTTATTTCATTGCATCGTTCATCGCAATACTTACTTCCCGTTCGTATTTATACGATATTGTGCTCACATAATGTATAATTATAAATGCAAAATAGATTCAAAAATATTCGTATAGGTAGACTAAAAATATTTATTTTAATATTATAAAAATTAGTTATACTCTCTTTCGTTGAGATTCTTTTAAATCAAATTTCTTTTGTCAAGTTGTAATGTACGATATATATAATTAATAATTAAAAGTAATTGAAATTTTGTGTTTAAAATTCCTTAGGAACTTTATATCCCATTTTGTATTATAACAATCTCACTTATAAAAAGTATCACAATTATTCTTATTTCGAAACGGAGCATAATTTGACATAATATCTAAATCGGGTACAAACTACATACATGGATTACAATTTCCTTTCACTCTCGTATTTAGAAAAAAGAAAAAAAGACAGAAAAGGAAGATATATATATATATGATTTAACGTATTCGATGAGAAAAGTATTCCGTGTTAGTCGACGGAAGTATCAAGACCAACCAATCGATACAACTTCCGCTCTTCTCTTTTCTTCCTAGATGTTTAACAGAAGTGCACGTTGTATCATCTATTATTCATAACAAATGGCTTCCTATATATCGTTTTCAAAGAAAATTTCTTACAAACTGCATCAAATATTAAACATTCATTATTCTTAATGTTACGAATATCTTACATCATTTATATGTTTTCCATAGATCATTACATCGATACTGAATAACTTTTCTTTTTTATTTTACATTAAATAACACCATTTGAAAAGAAACTTCCGAAGCCTACTTAAATCACGCATACCTATATCAGGGATCTTCGAGTAAAAGTAAAGACGGCTTTCATTTTTCTTACAATTTGTTAGAATTTCTTACCGTAAGATTAAACGTGTTATCGGTGAAAAATAGAAAAGATTATATATGTAATAAAGCTCGCGCAATGAAAGAGTCATTTGTTAAAAAGATTGAAAGAAGAAAAAACAAAGAAAAAAAAAAAGAAAAAAAAATAAGAAATGAAGAAAGAAAATATTAATAGCAGTGGTAGCAAAAGCATCATCGCAAGTAGTATTACCACGGATTTGATCGACCTTAATTATGTGAGTTGGTAGGGATACTTAATACCGTTTCGTAATAAACATACGGTATGCATTAGAAATCGTCTTCAAACTATTCGCCATATAGAGTTCAAATGAAAACGTCTTAACTAACTTTTCTCTCGTGTTGTTTCTTTCTTTTCTTTTTTTTTCTTTATTCTTTATTCTTTTTCTTTTTATTTTTTCCCATTTTAACGTTCTCAGTTCCTTTTTATTTGCGTTGTATCTACCATTAACGATTTTATTATTTCATTCAGAGCGTATCCGAAATAGAAGATTAGAATTTAGAAAATTTTGTATCATACTTGATTCTAAGTCGTTTAATTTATAAATTTAAACTCAATGTTAGCGAAAAATGCAAATTTTTGAACTAATTAACCAATTAGATCATTTCTTTCTCTCTCTCTCTCTCTCTCTCTCTCTCTTTTTCTTTCTCTATTTTTCTTGAAAATTTTTAGAAATTAAAGTTGAAAGAGAAGAAAAAGTGCGTTAAGTTTAAAAGAAACAAGCGATAATAAAACAACTGGCTTTCTAAATTGTCCTCAAAAATCTTAGTAGAAAGCTACGTATAAAAGTTTTCTAGGAATTATTATATGCAAAGTATCCATTCGTTATTTAGGTGTTCTTTATAAACAATAAAAAAAATAGACAAAAATTTCAATTAAAAAAAATGTGGGAAAATATATTCAATGGGTATTTAAAATCGTAAAAATATTAGTAAAATATATTAGAATATTCGATATATACCTTAAATGATTGTTAATTAATAAAAAAAAAACAGTATATTGTAATTTAAAATCAGGGAGTATAAGTTCGACGTACCTTCCTCTTCGAAATCCAACGAAAAACTAATTCATTGTCTTCAATGAAAGTTAATTTAAAATGCTTTTATCGATTGCTGTTTATATGACTTTGGGGAGGGGTTACATATGGATAACGAAAATAAAATACCGTAATAAATAGAATTTATTCATTCGGAAGGTAATAAAAACAACATTGAATAAAAGAAATTTCATAGAGGACATTGTGCCAGTCTATTGGTGTATTTCGAAGAGAAAGGTACTTCGAACTTTATATACCGTGCTTTTAAACAACAATATACATTTCTTTGAATTAATTAACAATTATTTAATATATTTTCAGTACTCTATTGCACTCTACTTTATATTTAAGATTATTTAACACACATTTATATTAATTTAAACATTACACATGCCTATTAACATATTTTAAATATTATATAATTTTAATTTGATATTTTTTTTTAGAGGAAAATTTGTATCCTTTAAAGTCATCATTGCGCAGAAACATTAAAACAAAATATATTATAATTTAAACACATATACATTTCCTTGAATTAATTAATAATTATTTTTATATCGAATACTTCGAGTTTTATCTTACTCTCTCTCTCTCTCTCTCTCTTTCTCTTTCAACCTATATGACTTTTTTTCTTTTCATTTCGTTTCGTAAAATGATATGATTACCATCGGCTTAAGAAGTTTCACTTCGTAAGAAAAAAAAAGAAAAAGTAAGAGAGACAGAAAGAAAGAGAAATAAGAAATAAGATTCCTCCGAAAATCAGCCTCACTTCGTGCAGTAGCAACCGGGTTAGACCCAAGGCAAATAAACGGTACAATGGGTGAAGGTGAAGGATGCTACGTGTTCTCTCACTTTCTCCAGAAACCTTCGTCGCGAACAACTATGTCCAGGGTCGGATGAGATCTCGAAAAAAAAATGTTATTATATTATTTCGAGCAAATTGTCGTTATATCACATTATTTTTACACCACGGTGTAGATAATGGTCATTTAATTACTGTCAAGGTCGACAATACGAAAGTATTGCTCTGTGGTACATTTAAATTATGATTCCTTTTTTTTTCAATTTTCTTTTGATTTTGTTCAATCGTTTTTCTTTTTAAATTGTCTTTTATTTATTTATTTTTTTTTCTATTGTCAATAATAAGATAAAATCATCTAACGGTTATCTAATTTCTGATGTATTTTGTAATTAATCCGTCACAGAGTAACGCGCGATAAAATACAACTAATTCTGATTTCACGTTAATGTTGAAAAGATTTTAGCGTCAAAAGTGTTACGAAAAAGATGTAACAAGGAACCATTATAAATGGTGTAATTCATTTTCAACATAAGTCCCAATCTTCGTGAATTGTTTAACTATAATACAAACTCTTATAATACAAAAGTCATTTTATATTTAATCATTTATTATATCAAACTTTAAATCGGATAATTGTTATTAATCATTTTATATATTTTGTCGTTTTAAGTTGTAAAAATTTCTTCTATCGACTTATGATTACTGTAATGAGATTAGTTATGGGGGGAAAAAAAAGAAAAAAAAAAAGAAAAAGAAAGTCTTTGATGTATGATCTTTGAAACTACTTCGAAGATCACGTATATATGCGCAACGTTACTTTGAACGCCAGACGTTATTACTACATCGTTTCACTTTCTTTTCGGCCTATCCTAACGCGAGTAATTAAACTTCATAATTAGTCTTGTGTTAATCGTAGAATTATTCAAAGGCTGGTCAAATCGAAGAAATATATTTTTTTTTTTAAATTTAATATATATATAAAAAGAAAAATAAATAAGAAAACACTTTCCATAGGTTTTTATTAGAAAGAAGGAAATTCATTAGAATCGGTATCATTATATTATGTTAATTGTATTGGTCAAACAAAAGAAACGTTGAACGTTCGAGAGAGAGAGAGATATTTTATTTTTACTATTTAACTTTCGATTCTCTACGAATAAAATATAAGCGTAATCTTTTAAATATTTATGAAAGTGAAATGATAAACGCTCATACGGAGAATATTTTTTGTTGTATTAGCTCTTGTATTAATTCTCCATCAACCATAACTTTCACCTTTCTTATAATTAAACACGTTAATACAGTTATGTTATCAAAACGTAACATACTTATAAATAACTGCTATATCGTGTTACTGGTGTGAACAAAAAAAATGAAAACGTTAAAAAATTCTTCATTTGTAGAAAAAAAAAAGACAAAGAAAGAAAGAAATAATACAATTTATTTATAAAATCATTTATAGAAAATGAAATTATTATATCACGCGAATATATATATATATATATATATACGACAGCGTGTAATAAAAATGCAAAGTGCAAAGAGAAGATATCAAATGATCCATGACGAAGAAAGTTTCTAACCATTTACGATTATTTTTTTTTCTTTTTCTTTATCGAATGTTAAAATATAAAACAACAAACAGTCTACTTGTTTTTCTCATATTGAATTATTCCGTTAACGAAAAATATAAGCTTCCTCGTTGAGATACGAATTCCTTTTTTAAAGAGGAACTCCTCAGCTATTCCAGGGTTAATGACAACGAAACGGAAAGTGATAGTCTGTTGGATGACCCCCCCGGATGAGAAATTTCTCTTACCGATTCTAGGCAATAAGGTGAAGGAGACACCGATTGATTCCGAAGGCTGCTGTTAAAACGTTTCAAGAGAAATTTCTGTTGGGCATTAACCCGATGAAAATGAATTGCCAATTCGCGTGAAAGAGGGCACGTTGAATTTATTTAACGATTGATCCGTTCATTGACTTTCTTCGACGACATATAAAATTATACGTTTCTGTAAATTCCTATTTTATTTATTCATTTAGAGAGAACACGATGATAATATTATTTATAAATTACCAATTAATACGTAACATTATGTACAATATTTTATTTTATTTTGATTTTGCAATCGAACAAGATTACGAATATTAAATATGAATATGCATTAGATAAATCTCATCTCGATGATATCTTTGATTGATGAAAATCTCATTTCCATGAGATTGACCAATCGTATTCAATACGATGCATATAGTGATTACACGTTCGAGAATCTAGTCGTAAGTAATAATTAAATGTTATTCTCAAGAGTCGTGTAAAAACAAAGTGGATATTTTTGTTTTATCGTTGGTTAGTAACATTCTTCGTAACTAGATCTCGTAAAACTCGTATCCCGTTCTGATGGATTCCATGGTTTTACTGATCAGTCTATCTTCGAGGTATTGCGCCAGAATACCTTAAGCGGATTTACGAGTACGCACTCACCACGGCTGGCTTGTTATGTGAAAGTGAGAGGTCTGAGCATCGGCGGAAGTTAATGAATGATGTCTGATTTGTCATCAAGGAAAACGTTCTCGTTAAAACTTTATCGATTTAGATCTATGATCGTAACTGAACGATTCAATTGAACGATATCTTTAACGATAAGATCCTATTGTCCTTGCGTGTTTCATCACTTGAGACAATATTCCATTTCAGAATCCTCTCGATTCACGTCCTCGGCTCTCGGCTTCCCAGCAAGTCCAGATTCTGAGCGATGTTCAGCAACATCAACAACGATTTCATCGACCAGGTCAAGAAAATTCACAATCTAATGGTCCTTACGGGTCATTAGCGAAATATAAGATCGATAGAACGAAGCAACAACAAATTCAACAACTCATTCAACAGCAACAACAAGTGCAACAATTGCTACAGCAGCAACAACAAAAGATCGCTCAACAATTGGGCTCGAATGGGTTCAATGGTCCGCAAGCGCAATATTATCAACAAGTTAACAAACAACAACAACCGCAATTTCAATCGCAACAATATAACAATCAATATCAAAATTTACCGAACAATATACAAAATCTTCAACAAGATCTTTCTCAGCCTCTCTTCAGTGAACAACATACGGTACAATTGCAATCATATTTGGAGAAACAACGAGAATTGGAAGAATTACAAAAGCAAAGGCAACAGTTGCTCTTGGAACAACAGGAATTAAAAAGGAGACAAGAATTATTGAAATTACAACAACTACGTCAATTAACCTCGACGACTCCGTCACCGCCACCTCCACCTTTATCATCCTCGTCTCCTTCGACAACAGCGATTCCATTCGTTAGTACAACCAATGCACCGGTTCTTTTAACGTCTCAGGCTGCTAGAAAAATCACGACGTCGGAAACTGAACTTTTCTTAAAAGCTATAGCTAGTCATCAAAAAAAATATTCTACGACTACTACTAGCATACCAGCAACGGTAAGACCACTGGTTACCATCAAACCAACACCCCAAGAGAACATTCGAGAAGAATCATCCACCATTCCCGAAAATCTATCTTCTTTTATCGAAGAACAAAGAAGACAAGCGATAAAACAGGGCATACCGAGGCCTGAAATCAAAATAATTTATCAAACTGAACCACCAACGAAACAAACTACTGCTAAAACCAAACTCAACGAATCTTCGGAATCATTGGAAAGAGAGTTATTGCTTAAACAATTGAAATCGGCGTTGTCTGAGACAGCTGATAATGACGATATTAGAAACGTTACTACTAGAGATTTGGTTCTACCAAATGGGAAAAAGCTTCAAGTTATACACGCGCCCAATGGTTTGTCCTCGATTGTACCTACTGATAGTTCTACTTCTCTTCGGGCTGCAACACAAATCTTATCTTCTACGACTACCATTAAACCACCTAAGGTGATTTTTGAGGAATTAACAAAAGGTGTTCTTCCGCCTGGTGCTGATTTTAAAATAATCCGACAAAAGAGTGATGGAAAATTGGAAGAAATTGGTAAAGCACCTATACAAAATTTGCCTGCTAAAAAAGTGACATTTGTGGTTTTAGAAGAACAACCCGATGGTAGTTATAAGGTTCAAGGTGTCAAAGGTAATACAGATAAGGAAGGAACGGATGTAGAATCTATCGTAGAAAAGATTAAAAAAGGTGAATTAAAATTACCACCAAGTTCTTCGAATCCAACTAAAACTACGTCTGAAGAGGAAGTCAATGATGAAATCGCTGATTTTGTATCGACCAAAATATCATCACCATCGTCGCGAACTGTTAATATTGTACCTACTACATCTAGGCCCACTACAGCAAGGTTTACAACTCCATCTTCTAGGCTCACTAGGTATAATAAAATTAATACTATTTCAAATAACGTACACACTGTTCAATAAAAATTCTGTTACGATGTATACTAAATTCAATTAGTGTTAGATTAATGTTACGCGATAAAATCGTTTGTTTGTTTGTTTGTTTTTTTTTTCGTTTAAATCTTAGTAGATTTCTCTTTAGTTAAATTATATAAACATTTACAGTAAAGCAACATCAGAGTACTATCCTTACGTCACGGTATCTTCAAACTCGGCCTCAACCGGAGACAATTATGTTACATCTGCATCCAGTTTAAGCAGTCATGTCTACAACACCGTTGGTGCAACAGACATAAATTTGAAATCGAAAAGTCACAATGTACAAGCAACAACAAGAGCGCCTATAGGAACTAAGAGTCATTTTGTTCCAACTATGGCACCAGTTAACGAAATCATTACGACATATTCACCCGCTATTAGCACTACTTTCTCATCATCATCTGCTTTTTCTTCTCATTTTACTCCTAGACAGCATTCCGAAACTTCACCAACATCGAGATCAATAATAACTACTACACGATCACCCGTTAGTACTTATAGCAAAAATCCTATTTATCAGGATGATATTGAAAGGACTACGATATCACCTACTGAATCATACGTTAATAAAAATCAAATTCACGAGAGTCTTACCACATTGTTAAGAAAAGAAGGACTCTTTGCTATAGCCAAATATTTAAGACAATCTGGATTAGATACTGTTTTGAACGAAACTGGTTGGTAGAGATTTAATTAAAGGATTATAATTTACAAATAATTCTTTCCATTTACATACCTTTCAATTGTTTTTATAGGTCCGTATACGATATTCGTACCAACGGATAAAGCATTCAGAACATTGTTAGTTCAACTTGGTGGACCAGAAAAAGCCGAACAAAAGTTCCGTGATAATCCAAGATTATTGAGTGGGGTATGAATGAGTTAATTAATATAAGATTGATAACGGAGTAAGAATCATTTGTCTACGTTACATTTGCTTTTATCAATTCAGCTTCTTCTTCATCATGTTATACCTGGAGCCTTCAGGATCGATTCTTTGCAAGATGAAATGACTGGTGTAAGCCTTGCTGGAACCCAATTGAGAGTAAATGAATATGCAATGCACGATCATGAATGGAATGATGTAAAGGTATTTAATAATATCAACATCATAAACGATGCTTTTTTAAAACGAACTGTCAATGTAATATACTTAATTATTCATTGGTGTAACGTGAACGCGTATATAAGAATATAAATCCTTGTCATTTTATATCTTTTACATCAACGCAAGCAGGTAACTACTATTAATGGAGCCAAAGTGGCACCGAATAAACGTGATATTGAGATTCCTCAAGGTATAGCTCATGCAATTGATAGAGTTATGTTTCCACTTCCTGTTGGTGACTTGGTTCAAACTTTACAAGCCGATCGTGAAAGGAGATTCACAACTTTCCTTAAAATGTTATACACTTCTGGATTAGACACTACGCTTGCAGGTAAATCAACGAATCAGTTTAATCTTAATTAATTATTAGGATCATAGAGAGTTCGATCAATATGGAAAATTGTTTAGGTCCAAAAACATTTACGGTCTTCGCACCTACGGATTCTGCTTTTACTGCTGCCGCTTCGAAAAATGGAACGCCTGTTTGGACAGAAGAAGATGGTCCAGTTGCTGCAAAAGCTATCATTTCAAGGCATATCATACCTACTACTTTATATACCGCTGGTATGAGGTATTATCTTCAAAAAGATACATTGCGTGTTCAGTCACCAGTTCATATTCACAAAAATGGAGGTAACTGTCATATAAATTATTATAATAATATTATAAATTATATATATATATATACAGTGTCCTGGTGGTACAAATAAATCAAAAATATAGATGTAAAATAAAATTTTGTCATTTAAGATTTTGTTTTAAATCACCTTCTTTTTTTTCTGCTCGTTTGTACCATCAGTTACAGAACACCCTGTATATAAATAATAATTATATTATATAAAAAATGTGTGTTATACAATATACATAAGTATATTCTATAAACTATTTCTTTTTTTTATTATTTAATAATAGGTCGAGTACGAGTAAACGAAATAAATGTAGTGACGCATAATGTACCGGCTACAAATGGAGTTTTGCACGCCATCGACGGAGTCTTGTAAATATATTCTTTCATTTCAACTGAAACGTTCGAAAATATCGGTAATATTAATATATTTTGTATATAAAAAAAAAAAAAAAGAAAATAAGGATTTGAAGTAAATCATGGTATGTATAGACTAATTGACCAATTCTCTTTAAAAGAAATTTTCAATGAACCTTCATAAATGCAAATTTCTTTTAATTTTATTCTACGAAGAAAAAAAAATTTCAACCAGAATTAAAAACATTTCTTGCCATTTATATAAACATTAGATGTTTTGCGTGTAAAAAATGTAGCCTATTATCAAGATCATTGTCTTTACGTGTACGTATAAAATGTAGCATATAATCAGGGGTGAACTATAAAAATTCACTTCTAACGGTGCCTTTTATTTGAAAAAGAAAAAGTATTAAAATAGAATACTTGGGCAGGGGCAATAGAAACAGCTACTAATCTAACGAACGTGTACGATAATTGTATCGATCATTTTGGAATAAAAATTTAATTTATATAAAAAATGAATGTTGATCATGATCATAGATTATTCAGTGTTTTAGACACTTATTATAATTATATACATATTATTCTATATAAATACATAATATCGATAGAGATAACGCATGTTTGTGCATATATCATAAAAATGTATTGATATAAGATTATTACTTTATAAATAAATGTACAGAACCCTTTTTCATTAAATTTATACATTTCTCATTGACAGTGAGATACAACACACGAATCATTTATGACTGATACTTATCAATACATAAATTCATTGCAGATCTAATAATTTGTTTTATATTTCTTAACTTCAACCATTATATGATGTATGTTAGTAAGTTTCGTTCGAGCATTTGGTGGTAATATTTTATGAAATCTATTATAATATTGCACTAATTGAGTCATTGCACGTTGGACTAATGCATTTCCAATGACTAGATTTGGAAACGATTTTAATATCTCGTCGTTGATATTTTTTAAAGAACGTTGCCAGGTATCTGTGAAATATTGTACAAGAGCTAATGCTTTACCTTCTTGTCTTTTCAAATCTTCATCTTGATTTTTCTCTATAAAATTTTCTGATTCCTTAATTAATTGAATGATACCATCGAAATATTGATTTAATACTGCTTCGACATATTCGGAAGAACGTGCATTTAATTGTTCTCGAAAGCTTTCTGCTTCTTTAGAATTATCTCGTGTTCTTTCCTAAAAAATAAATAAAAAAACATGCATTTTATTAAAGAATAAATTATTATTAAATAATATTAAAATATTAAAGAACAAATTTTTGTTTTTCTTACTATAAGAACACTCAACACTAAGTCATAGTTATTGATAAGAAAGATTAATTGATTAATTCTGCTTGGAAAAATAGATGCCATTCTTAATAAGAAACATTGAACAGCTTCTCTAAGTTCTGCCAATAATTGTGTTACACCTTCACAAGGAAATCCCTCGACTATGCTGACCATTGCTGCACTAAACTCAGCATACCTCCTTGTTATCTGAAACGATGTTATTTTAATTCATCTACTTTTTTGATTAAACAGTAATTTCTCTGTTAACATTAACTTACATAATGTGGGCCAGTCTCTTTATTAAATTTTGATGGATCACAATCTTTTATACTTTGAATATTCAATTGAAAAATAAACTCAAATCTGAAAATATATATATAAAAGTTCGTGTTATTGTTTAAAATAATTGTAATAGATTGCAATTGATTACCTTGGCCATATAATTTTTGTCAAATGATCCCAATATTTGTCTAACGCTGGAACTGCTCTTTTGTGACACGTTAATTGATAACGCATTACCAAATGTAAACATAAAAATAATGCTATAGTATCATAACAATCATCTACAAATGATTGCAAATTCTTTGACACAAGATTTAATGTCTTCTCCATGACCTGTAAGAATCATTATAATTATAAAGCAACAAATAATTACAAGTCATTACCAATTATATACACAATTATATACAAGAATTTGTCGTTATAAAAAATTAATTTACCTTATTAAAAATTCTCATAGCTTCATTACCATTAACTTTAAAAAATTCAGTTAAAAATAAATATTCTCTACAAGCATTGTCGACAACTGCATATTGTTCACTTCTAAATAGAGCTTCGTAATGATACTGAAAATTCAAAATAAATTATATTCGTTTATATCAAAAATTTTATAAAATAAATTTAAAACGAACCCTGATATTAGAAGCTGTAAGTGGAACAATGATAGAAGCTTCTAATTCTGTAGAAAGAACTGCATCTCTAGTGTTTATAGAAAAAACAGTTCCTCTATGTTTCAATGTAGATTTGTGAAATAGACTATGTCTTGCTGTATCTTCGATTCCCATTAAATCATCTTTAGTTGGTTTTTCTTCGAACTGAAATAAAATGAACGATAATTGTTATTATTTCATTTTATTTAAAATCAAAATTTTCTTACCTGTAATTTCATTAATTTAGACGAATACGCTTTAAAATATGAGTAATATATTTTACTCATAGTATCTACATATTCTTCACAAATTTCATCGGCCACATCATCTTTATTAGCTAAAATAAATTCATAAAAAAACTTATACTTCAGCATACTATTTTGTAATATTTGATAATTTGCCATTGGTTTTCTAAACCTATAAATTTGTTCTAACAAGTAATGTCTGATTTTTGTCATCGCTTTAACTTTTAATTTTTCCAATATATCTTGTACATCTATACAAGATTTTGCCTTTGTACTTTGTTCCCTCACAAAATTAATTTTATAATTCAATATTTGTAACTGTGCTAAAAATTCTTTGTCCATCACAGAACAGTCCATAATTCCGCTAAAGCAAAACAAGATTATTAAAAAACTTTAATTTATAATTGTATATTTTGAATAATAAGGTATTAAAGTATAATATTTGTTTACATTATAAGAGCTTCAGAGACAGTCATATCATCGATGAATAGACTTAAAGGTCCACGTATTGCTTGTCGATTTGATAATTGTTGACTCATAGCAACAGACTTTCTTTGTAATGAAAGTATCTCCGAACTGATACTTCCAAGATCTTTTTGAAAACACATAAGCATTGACTCCATTTCCTATAAAAGAAAGCATTAAAATAAATAAAATTTATACAAAACAAGAACATAAAAGTACATATGTTTACATAATAAAATAGCATTAAATATAACCTCCAGAATGTTATCGCATGCAGTTATTTGATCATGTAAATTTGCTATATTCTGACTCTCCTTGATATAATCTTGTATAGATTTATTTTCGACCTCTTTTAATTCCTCCTCAATTTGTTCAGAATACTGACGAAGATCCATACCAGTTTTAAGTACTTCTTGTACAACATCATCACCAAGATCTTGAGGTAATTGTACTTGGTTATCGATAATATCCATTTCTTTCGACATTTTAAATGAAAATAAAAGAGTCTTTAACAATAATTATTATTCGTTAAAATCTATTAAAGCATGTCACTTATTTAATCAACTGATATATGTTAACCACAAAATGAAATATAATAATGCATTCGAATAATATTGTTAATATTCTATCAATATTAGGATTGTAATGATTATTTAGCAACACAACACAATTTACACATATTAATTATTATCCTTTCTTTAATATAATTAACATTTATTATTATCATTGTAAAAAGAATAAAAACCACTATGTTTCTTCTTTGATGTCAACAAAAGTTAATGATGAATTCTTCTTGGTGACATCGTCAAAAATTGGAACTCGAATGTATCTGTAGGAATTTATGACGTCATCTAGTCAAGTCAGGTCCGCCAACGCAGTCACACGTAGCTTTAAACTTTCTTTTTTTTTCTCTCATTATTCATCAATAATACGTAAAGAATGCGGTAAGTTAGTAAAGCTTATTAACATTTACATCGATTTTCTAGACAAAGTTTATCATTTTTTCTTTTATTAATTTAATTTAACTTTTGGTGGTTCTTGGTAGGTTATGAAATTAATTATTTCTATTGTTATATACGATCCCCAGTTTATATTGTTAATAATGCTCCAATAGCAACGTGTTATCAATTTTGACAGTACATCAATTAGGAGCATGAAATTTTTAATGCATTGATATCCAGTAATTGTAATGTATTTAAGATATATTTCAAATGAAAATATTTTTAGATTATTTATTGCTTGATTTCTGGATTAATAGGATGCATAATAATTTTTTTTAAAACAGTCATGTGTACTGTGAATTCTTATAAATTTATTATTTATTTCGTGTAAAATAAATAAATATCTTTAATCCAATTAATGATAAATTATTATTATCTATAAGATTGTGTGAATTTATAGAAACGTTTGAGTTATTTCTTCGAACGTTTTAACTAACTGTAAAAAAGACTTCTATTTAACCTAACCATAAAACACCATAAAACAATGTGTGTTCTAATTTCAATTAGGTATATAATTATATCTATTATAATAATTATTGACATGAGTTATTGAAAATTGAATTCTAAGCATATGTTTTTGTTTTAGATAAACGAAGAAAGTTAATGAAAAGGGGAAATGCTAAAGGAATTATCCAAATGGGTGTCATAAAACCATTATGGCCCAGCATAGGCAACAGCAAAACGAATTTTTATCACTATGTGATGTTTTGTTTAATATAATTTCCCTTGTATCATATTTTTGTGACATCGTGTTTGATTTTGCAATGGTTTATACACTCGCTTATCATTCAGTAGGACCACCTACTGTTTTCCCCTTAAGTATTACTTTTATAACAACTTCTTTGCTTGCGTGCCAGGTATATGATTTAATACAAACAATATTATAAAAACAAAATATTCTTTTACATTATCATGTTATTTATTTTATTATGTTATTTATTTATAGATAGTTAGCATACGTTGGTATTTATGGGGTGTAAGAGGTAAATTAATAGATAACGATACAACCAGAGATAGTAATGTAAGCCCATGCAAAAAGACTGGTAATTGGACTTTTGGTTGTGTATTATTTCTTCATACAACACAAGCCGGAGTACTTTGGAGATATTGTAAATTGTTTATTCCAGTTGATTTAGCTTACGTTAAACACGAGGTAAATTATAATTAATAAATTATTATGATATCTAGTAATATAGTTCTTTCATATTTTTACATCACGTTTAAATTTCTTTAGGTGCGAGAGTTGTGTGTATTGCGTCTTGTACATGCATTCTGTGAAGCTGCACCTATGTTATTATTACAATTATATTTATTATCTATCGGAATTAATGACAACTTAGGTATAGAAAATGAAAAACTAAAAAGTGGTGAAGTGAATGACAGTGAACAGTTAACTAAATTAACAGCAGTTTCAGCTGGACTATCCTTGTGGAATGTTTGTTGGGCGGTAGCTAGTTTTAGTAAAAGTGCAGCACGTCTGCGCAATATAGAACGTTTGGTACTTACATGGTTGGGTGTATTAGCTCAATTATTTTGGCGCCTTGGAACAGTAAGTGCTAGAGTTGGAGCATTAGTTGTATATGCATCGCTTTATGGTGGACAATGGCTATTAATTGTAATGGCACTTCATTGGCTTACTATGTTAATGTGGTTATTGCTCACACCTGATGGACTCTTCCATGTAGGTGAGCGTCTCCCAATGACGAGAAAAAGTATTCTAGCCTCTATGTTGGCATTTATTTATATATTTGCATATGTTAATCTACATGAGACCAATCATCGCCAAAAAATGGTGAGTGGAAGTATTCAATCTTATTATTTAATTTCAATAAAATATTTTTATTTTTTTTATATATATATATATATATATAAAGTAACAAGAAATATGTCTTTTAAAAACTAAACGTTTGCATAGGTAATATTTTATACCGTAATGTTATTGGAAAACAGTTTACTTACTGGAGTATGGGCTGTAGGCATAAATAGAAGTGATCTTCATCTCCATCAACCAAATCCAGTAAATTTAATACTTACGCTTGTAGCATTATTTTTTAGTGGTATGTTCTTCATGGCAATGTACTATAGGTAAGCATTTATTATAATCCTTTATACCTTTTTTTTCATTTGCTTTTATGAAATTATAGAACTAAGATAAACTCTAACTTTACCGTGAAACAATACATGGTCTATTTTTTTGTTCCAAGATTTCTATAGAGCTTAAGACTCTCTTTACTTTTTTCTAGATATAACTCTTTCTTGGTTTGGATGGGTACAAGTTGAATGTGCAAAGGACACTGAATATTTGAGCAAAGTATTTATTACTTTATAAATTGTGATAAAAAAAAACTAGTCTTGCAATTCATATGTATGTTTTATAATTGACGAATTTGAATAATTTTATTATTTCTTTATTATGTTTGTCGTTAGCTTTCTAGCTGTTTTATTATTGCCTTGTTTTTTTATTTATTTCAATTAATTATGTCCAAGAAAATATTAATTGTACTTTTTTTTAAATGATGAAATTGATTTATAATACTTATGCTCTGTGTGTAAATTATAGAAAATCCTTATCATATAATTAATTATTGCACTTGTCTGGATCTACCTGCATATCACAGATCAAAAAATTGTGATCTTGCTTATCCAAATGGCTTATATTTTTTTATCAACTCCATCCATACTATTTTATTCATAATGCATGTACATATAAATAATAATTTTTGTTTTATGTATGTTGATCGTCTAAATAATCTTCACATTTTATATAGAAATAAATATATATACATATGTATATATATTTTTTGTATGCATCTAAATCTAGATTTTTGTGGTTTTGCTTGAAGCAGTTCATGCGCATGCATCAAATATTATGATCACTGTTATTAAAAATATAATATCAAAACTTTATTTCTAATCGTGTAAAACACTTGATCTATGTTTACAGATTTTTTCATATAAGAAAATTAACATATGAAGTTGGTGGTAGAATGACTACTTCAAATCTTGCAATTATGTCTAACCAGGTTTGTAATTTATTCAAAATTCAAGTATTGTTACAAATATAGAGTAACTATATATTAGTGTATATATAATATAATTAAATTTTTTTATATATTTTTATTTTCTTTACCTTTTTGCATGTATAGGAAAATCAAGAAGAAAGGAATACAGACCATGTAAAGGAAAAAAAAATTAATAAAAATGTAGCAACAAGAAGAGTAAAATTGAATAATAGCGGTATACCTGGTGTATTTAATTGTCGCTTTTCTAATGCAGCAGTAGTAAATCCAAATCGTAAAAAGAAAAAGCCTACTACATTTGTACCTCCACCACCTCCACAGGATCAATCTACATCTACTGTAAGTCCTACTACTGCAGGTGAAGATACTAAACAGTGGCTTAATGGAAACAATGGACATCAGCAAATAATTCCATTTTGGAAAAAAGCTGCATCCTTTTCCAACGTCTTGCAGGTAATATAGTAATATTAAATAGTTTATTTTATTATATTTGACAAAGAATAATTAAAACGCTATTTCAAAACAGAGCGACAATTCAAATATACAAAAAAATACAATCGAAACAGAGACGGGCAGTTCGTTGAGTGTAAATTTGATACGAGAAAAATTAAGGCAAAAGAAGCAGCAACAACTTCGCGAGCTTAAAGCTATACAAGAAGAGATCAAAGAAGGAAAATTATTTCCACCATTGTCAGCATCTCCGTCTACATTTTCGTCTTCTCCATCAGTATTAAATCAACAGCCACCGCCAAGTAAGAAGTTGCATACTTCTCCAAACACTATATTATTTACATCACCTTCGCTGGTATCTGATGGAGATGAAGGTGTTGCATTAACATCATGGCCACCAGTTAAAATGCATTGTTTATTACCACCACCACCAGTATCGCCATATCATTCTAATTCCCATTCCTCAAGTTTATGGAAAGTATCGCAAAGGGATAAAGCTAATGTTCCAGAAATTTTGTTAGCACCTAGATGTCTTCCCATACATTGTGCTCATTGGACACCTCCCAGTCATCTTAATCACAGGTAATTTATGAATTATTTATCATTGTTATTATAATTAATATAATAAAGATATGCAGTCAATTTAATTTCGTATTTATATTTAAAAATATATAAAAGCCGGAATGGGAAAGGAGAGAGTTCCAAAGATGAAAGCGAAGAAGGTGAAATCAGTGATATGGAAGGTAGTCAAGTATCATTACCTAGAAGCTATACACTCCCTCGGGAATTTAAATATTATCATTCCACTAATATGCTTAGAGATAAAGAACGATGTGGTGGTCCTAGTAAAGTACAACCATCTAGATTTTATTTACCTTCTACTTACAGTTCTGATGGTTAGTAATCTTATATACATCATCTACATATGTATGTATTTTATTTAACTAAAAACTATTTAATATTGTATATTATCTTATATTTAGGAGATGTAGATAGTGCAGATAATGAGGAGGAAACAGACTCTGAATTACAAATTGTTATAAAGGAAGGTCACAATTGTAGTTCTGATAGAACACAGCAACGAAAATATGCACAAAAAAATAATGACGAAACAGACTTATCTAGCAATAATTGTGATGCTTCTACTGAGATTGCGATATCTAATAATTCTCATCATAATAATTTATATGGTATTCTAAGACCAAATCAACTTTTCAAAGCTAGGGTTAAACATGAAACAAAATTATAAAACGTGTCTCAAAACGAATAATTAAAGTAATTCGATCAATGAAAAAATTTGATAAAAAATTAATTAATTTTAGAATTAATCAATAACAATATTCTAATAACATTATTTTAAAATTATCTAAAATTAATTTAAAGATTTTCAATAATTGACAGTTTATTTATATAAAAATATTAAAATAGATTTCTAATGAAAGTCAATAATTGAATGATTTAAAGAATTTTTAATTTTTTTTTTGTTAACATTTTTATGATATCAATTGTATTCTATCGCAAGAAATAAATAGAAAAAAATTTTTGATATACAACCATGAACACGTGTGAGTTCATTTAAATTTCCCGGGTTAATTCATTGCAAAAATGTCAACAATAAGTGGCGCCAACAGTTAAGAAAAAAAGAATAGTAGTAGGTACAAAATTCTATTGTCTGTATTAATTTATCTTGTTTAATAATATAATCTTATAAGAAAGAATGCAAACAAATGAATGTGTAATACGAATACTTATATAGTTAAGGAAAGTTCTTACTGTCATTACTAATGAAAAAAAAATGACGGAAATACAACTTGCAGATGAGGTAACAACCACTTATTTCAATTTGAAATCGCGCGAATATATTAAATGTTAATATTATATTTATATAAATAATTATTTTAACCATTCTTCACATTGGTATTAATGACTAAATTGTAAATATTTTTATGCACAGAATACAAATCTACGAAATTGGCATTCCATTAAAGACGAACAAAATGTTCTGGTACATGCATGTAAGGAAGGACAATTAAATATAATTGAAGAGCACCTTAAAGGTAATTACTATATTAAATGAAATGATTACACGTTGTAAATAAAATTCCACTGATTTTTGTCCTTTTTATTTTCTTTAAGTGTGTATTAATGAATCCATTCTCTTTGTTTAAATATATTTAGACAATGATATAAATGATGTGTTAAGTACCGGTTGGACTCTACTTTTACATGCTGCATCATTTTGTAATATTAAATTAATCCAATATCTTTTGGAACGTGGAGCTGATGCTAATAAAAATAAAGGTATTAAATAATTTTGTTGATGGCATTATATACTCTGTTATTTAATCTTTGAAATATAATTTAGATGGATTCACACCATTAATGGCATTATGCAATTCTACAAATGGATCAACAGCAGAATGTTCCACCTGTTTATCTCTATTAATTAAAGCATCGGATTCTGTAGATGTAGTTGATAATCACAAGTAAAGATACTGTGCTAAATCGTCTTATAATAATTATAATAATATCAAATAAATATATATAATATATTATGCTATTTTAATAGGCAAACAGCTTTAATGCACGCTTGTAAAACAAAGGATGTAGAAAATATTAAGGTATTACTAAAGCATGTACTATATATTGATATTCAGGATAAACAAGGTTATACCGTAAGTTTTGTTGTAATTATAAATGAAATTAATCATTCTAAGTGTCTTATATTAATATATAATATATATATATATATATATATGAAATAAGTAGCTAAAATAGTATCTTAATACGCTTTATACTTTCTTCAGGCCTTAATGTACGCTGTCTTAAGGAATAATGTAGAAATAGTAAAATTACTTCTTGATTATAACGCTAATCCCTTAATTAAAAATAATTTTGGTGACACTGCTAAAGATATAGCAGAAATAAAAGAATACAAGAAGGTATATAATTACATTAAATTTTGTATTTAACAACTAATTAATCTAGTAAATATTTCAGATTTCTATGCTATTCAAGGGAGATGATAATTTTACAGTTACATATACAACATCCAGAATTAATAAATGGGAACATTTATTTTTTAAATTGAATCCTACTAAAAATCAGGTTGTTAACATCAATATACTAAATGTTTTGAATGCAATGGAACTACATTACTATATTAACCATTTTCAAGGAATGGAATTTGAAACATTTTTAAAGTTAACAGAACAAGATCTTATTAATTTAAAAATGGACATTAGTATCCATAGAGATCGACTTTTAAAGTATTTGAATTATTTTCATTGCTTACCATGGGATCATTCCACTTTAAAAGAAATGATACGTCATTATAAAGAGTATAATTAAAATTGATTTAAATTAATAACAATTTAATCGTATCATTTCTTTTATTAAAAAATTACTCATTTTTCAGATGTAGAGACATGATTGAAATTATGGCTTTAATGGCACGACAAATTCTAATTATGACTTCTACTTTTCATTTTATACGATTAAATATAGATAATGATTTTTTTGATGATATATTTGTCGATGATATACAAATATTTGAATATACAGAAAAAATTAAAAGCATTGAAGAAACAGTTGTTACTCTAAAAAATAGACTTTTGCGTATAAAAACTGTTGCAGATGAGGTAAACAAAAAATATATTTTTAAAAAATATATTTTACATTATACTGTTATAATTAATACAAGTTAATTTTTAAATTATAGATGAACGTAAAAAATTCTTTAAAAATACCTCCCTGTTACATTGGACCAAAAGTAGTTAAAAAAAGTTACTTCAAACCTATTATGTTGAGTATGCTATTAGTTTATGGAATATATTTTACTAAAGTAAGAATTTGCAAGTAAAGTACCATTGATAATAACCAGGAAAAAAGTTAACAGTATTATCTTTTTTTTTATTATATGCTATTAAAGTAGACAATTTCTTTACAGTAATTATCTTTTTTTTTATTATATGCTATTAAAGTAGACAATTTCTTTTTTTTATACAATATAAATACGAATCTCATATTCTTTATAAAATCTTATTATTAACTACATTTACATATCACTATAATAAATAATTCATTTCAATTAATATGATCGTATAAGTTTGCTAATTTTGTCATCAATGGAAACAAAGGATGAAAAGATGGAATATTGTTTTGTTGTATCGTTAACTGATACCGTTCCAATGATCCCTTACTGAGAGCAATCCTATCTTTTTCTTCTGGATGACTATCGATCCATTGAGATAATCTTCCAATAGACCAACCTGCACTCTGTAAATTAAAGTATATACAGTTCTTTTTTTGAGATTCTTTGTCAATCATTTTAAAAATTAATGAAACAATTATATAAATAAATAATTTACTTGATGTGGAGATAATAATTCAGATGGTGCACCAGAAAATAAATGTAGAAGAAGAAGTGACGGCGGTACACTATTCTCCGATGGATCTTCTAAAACTTTTTGTACCATATCTTCTGGTTTTTGTAATAGTAATGCTTTTAAAGCTCTTAATCTTCTATATTGTTGTTGTTCTAACAAACTTAACTGACCTCCACCACATAACGGTGATACAGCAAGCTCCATCTTAATTAATTAATATGTTTATTATAGCAAAGTTTCTACTATATGAATAATATTCATAACAATAATATTATCTCTTAATATACCTGAGTGAAATCCATAATTAATTTTTTTCTTCCAAAATCTGTTAATGGCCTCAGTAAACAAGCATGTCTCATAAATAATTCAATGCATCTTGAAGCTACACTCTTACAACTTAAAAAAAAAAAAAAACATTAAATTCCAATATTAGGAAATAAAATAAAATATATTGTATTAAATATCTTACCATTCAGTAACCACTGCTTGATTTTTATAAGGACAGAGGAATGTATTTACAGATCTTAAAATGAAACCTTGTAATTCACGCATGTATAATGAACAAGAAACATCTTTTCCAAGAGGACTACTTGTACTAAAAAGAAATGATAAATTTACTTCTAATTAAATATACGTGTTTTTTTTAGGAAAATAATTTGTACTCACTCTCGAAAATCAGGTTCATCGTGTATCGTTAAAATAATACTTTCAATTGCATCACTGATAGAAGCTAACAATGGTGACAGTATACTTTTTGTTAATACATCTGATTCTTTAATTGCTGACGAAATAATTGTTGATCCTTCAACTGGTAAACCAGATGATAAGTTGGCAATTACACGATTTACTTGACTAGAAAGATAATGTAATAAATTTGCTAAGGTGACATTGGTCTGTTGTCCAGCTGTAGGTGAATCTATAACTTGGCTTGCTTCTCCACCTGTTACCAATCCCTGTTCACATTTTAAGCAAAACAGACGTATAGATTTGCTCACATTACGTGCAACCACAATGGATAAACCATCATCCACAAGTGAAACACTGAGTTCGCTAAATACAAAAAACTAGTTATTTAGTATGCTTATTGGTAAAAAAAATACATATAATATTAAAATTATATATAATTATACATACTTTGTTACAGTGCGAATTAAAGTATCAATTTCATCTTGGCTTGGTAAATTAGTTCCGCAAAACATAGTATGTACAGGATCCAAGAGACGAGATACAGAACGAGAAAGATATGCATTTTCAAACGATGACAAAACATTACGGCTAAATAAAAAAATTAATTATTTATGATATATATTATAAAAAAAACACTTAACTTTATCAGATTATAATAATTGTTCACAATTACATACTTAATGTTATAGGTACCAAAACTTTGCGATCTATCCTTCAAACGTTTACTCAAATCTAAAAATAATCGCAAGAACTTTGGATATTCTCCTTCCAAGGCTTGTTTTACAAGCGATGATCCTAGAAGATTTTAATAATTATTACATTGTTTAAATAAGAATAAAAAACAATAGGAACTTTTACCTTGTGAACGTGCAATTAATACTTCGCTCAATAATAGATTAACTTTCGTCCAAAATGTTTCAGATAAATCATTAAATTCTTTTGCATGATTTTCCAATAATGTTTTTTGCAATAATTCAATCTACATGAACAATTAATTGCTTCATTGTTACTAAATATGAATATATATTTATATATATACATATATAATATTAAATCTAATAAAATTATCCTTTACTTGTATACACTGCGAAAACAAAGCATCTTGAAAAAGTCTTTCAAGATTTTCCCAAATACGCGTACGTAAATTTCCTGACGTTCCTGGCGTAGGTGTTGAAGCACGACCTGGAGCTACTTTTTTAATTATATCTTGACTTTTAGATAAAAGAACATCGAAAGATTCAATAGTATTTTTCTTGATATTAGCTAAATTATTTGCAATAGTTATTTCTACTGCTTCATTTACAATTCCTAAGTTCTGAAATACCTGTATAGCTGTACTGACCTGTACATTACAAATATTAAAGTCAATTTAAATCTATAAAGTAAAATTATATAAGATTTATTTTTTTAAATAACCATACCTTAACTCTATCCATTGCTTGTAAACCTTGAGTTAATGTATGAGTAGCTACTCTTTTCACAACTGCCCTATGAGCTTTAACAGCTTGTTGATCGTCAGCAATTATATCTAGGCCATTTAAATCTGTATCCGACATTAATTGCTCTACATGTAAATTTATATAGAATTAGTATATATGTATATAGCTATTTATTTTTATACAAAAAATTAAAACAAATGACTTGACGTAAAAATTACCAAGTTCGTGTAAATTGTTAGCTACTTTTATTATATCTGGACCTTGAATAACATTAGTCATTTGTGAACCTAAACGTTTAGATAAATGTTGCATTCTTGCTACTCTCCGCAGAAGATCAGATGTTTCATGAAGACGTGACAATACTACAGCTTGAGTTTCAATTCTATTAAATGGTTCTACTATTTTCCCACGTAAACGTTCTACGGCTAGTAACAAATTCTAGAAAATTGATATTTCATTTAACAAGAAATATATATAAATATTTTCAAATCTCGTTTAACATTGGTTATATTATTTAATTTTGAAATAATTGTATTTACTTGTACATGAGTTTGCATTATTGAAAGTACATCTTCCAACTTCTCAACCCATGTTGCTTGAGATAACAAATCTTCATAATTTGCAAGTACTTGGTTTTGTAATTCAGAACGTAAGACCTCGATAGCTAACAAATATAAAAGTAAGAATATATAATAGAAGAGTTATTTATTTGATTATAAAATATAATTATAAAAACAATTTTATTTAAATGAAGCAAAGAAAAACTTTACCTTGACCCAATTTATTTAATTGTTGAACTACTGATAATACTTTATCGATCTCTGTATTCTTTAAATCGCCATTCAAGAATTGTTTAAAAAATTCTAAAAATGAAGTAAACAAATATATTGGGTTATAAAAATGTAAATAGTCCACAAAATATTGTATAAAAATACTTAACAACTTACCGTCATTTTCTATAACTTCCAATGTTAATATTTCACTCATTTTAAATTACTTTCAAAAATATGTCAACAAAAACAAATAACTTTTAATTTGATATACTATTATTCAATACATATTAAAGTTTACATTAGGTTCCACGTAGAATAAATTGGATTGATGGAAGTTTAATTCTAGTATAATAGACATTTGACGCATGTGCAAATTGTGTTATATATAAATATGGCGGATGAAAATACCGCCAAAATCTACAATCTGATTACTAAAGTTCTTCTGTGTTTTCTTTCTTTTCAAAAACAATGTAACATTGTATTAAAAGGGAAAAACTGTATAAAACTTTTAAATTGTACAAATAAAATTTATATTTTCAATATAATAGGTATATATATATATACAAAGTAGTTCATGTACTTAAAATTTGTATAATGTATATAAAAATAAAATTTCATTTTTTATATATTTTTTGTATTCACATTTTAAACGTTATTAGTTATTTGTATTAAATATATTTTTACTAAAATATTTCTTTTTAGAAAATGGATTTGGATGTAACCTTCAATTGTTGTGGAAAAGTAAATTTGAATGATTGGCAATTAAATAAAACAAGTCTACTGTTGAATAGAGAGATAGACAATGTATTTTTTCCATCAGAAGAATATCATTTCCAAGATACGCATATAGAACTTTTCGACAATGTTATACCTGCAAATACTGTTATTTTAAATATAAATCATTTTGTAAAATGCATGGAGTAAGATATTGAATCAAAGTATTTTTTTATTTATTTGTTTTGTTTCTCTTACTTTATAATAATAAAATGATCACTTTGTTTTCATAGAATGCAATTAAAGATATTCAAGAGATATGAAGATTATGGTCATGCTTTGAATACAACTAATCGCATAAATTTCTTTTCTATACGAAAAACAGTATGTCGATTTATTTCATATGTACGTGTGTACATGAACAGGTACGTTTGTCTTTTAAGTCAATGTTTTTCTTTTTTGCTTATCAATTTCCTTTTTTTGTTACAGCATAAAGTGGGATTATTGTAAATTAAGAATTATAAATCCTACTATTGAAGAAGATTTTAATACATTATTTTCAACCATAAAAAGATTTCTCAGCAGATTAAGAAATATTCCAGAATCTATATTTCATTACGCAGCATCCAATTTGGGCAATAAAGTAATTATTTAGAATATGTCATTATATATTATTGAGATATATAAGGTGTATTGTAACTGATAGTACAAGCCAACAGGGTGTGATTCTACATGAAAAACTAAGTAGTAAATGAATAATACAATTTGTTGCAAGCTCAGTTAAGTGCACGTATATTCAACAAATTTTAAAACTTATTTTTCTCGAGATCGAAGCTTTCTGTGAACAAATTTTATTTTACATTTTCGACTAAATTTGTCATATAAAATCAACCACTGATCATTTATATCATCAGTTACAGGACACCTTGTACATCTACTAATGTGATATTTTTTTTTAGTGCGTGCAACCAGAATTTCATTTGTACCATCTCCATTTAGATTTAAGATGGTTGTATATATCATTAATATACATGCGTAATGTACATTGGCAATATTCTGAAGA